CTCACCTTCCTGGTCTTTTGCATAAACGTGTCAACAAATAGCTAAATAATATATAACATGTCACAACGGTGACAGTACCTTGAATTTTGTCAAGCTCTTTTTCTTGTAAATCTCTCATTTTTCTGTGTGAAACATCATAGATATCAGGAAATTCATGTTGATTGTGTAAATTAATTTCTGGTATTTTTGATGATTTCACTAAGTGACAGTTAATTGAACCAAGTGCTAGTTTCAGTGAATGAGCCTTATATTCTTGTCCATTTTGTTGTTTCGAAGATGCTATAAATTCAATAATTTGTCTTTGAAGAACTCGAGTATCAGTCATCATTTCGATAGGAGTATCGTAGCCCCAATTGTGTAATCCAATTTCGAGTTGCTTTGACAGTATTTTTTCACAATACTCTTATTTTTATAATATTCAATTTTGTCCTGTAACTCTGATTTGGCTTTATTTGGTAAAATAATCGCTGAGTCAGTTTCTTTATTTTCGAGCAGTGAACGAGCAGATTGAAGCATTGGTAACAAATACATTTTAGTAAGTAAAAAATAATGCGACTATTCATCATAACATTATAATAAAAGTTGATTTCATGATGAAGTATTTTAATTAATCATCAGAAATCACATGAGCACAATTTAACAATGAAATTTAATTTGTGTACTAAAAAAGATTCACGGTGCAATTTTTCAATAAGGTAGGGAGTACTTTATGTGGTGATATACTTTACGTATGTGTCTATGAAAATAATGAATATGTTTTCGGCTTTGAGAATAAATTATTAATATGTATAGAAATTATTAATATGTATAGAAATTATTAATATGTATAGAAATTTGTGTGAGCAAAAATTATAGTCGATTAATTTGTTTTATTCATTTTGCAGAAATAACGAGTTTTACTAACGCTAAAAATTACGGTTTAACGTTAACGGTAAATATATATTTGTAAAAACCGACTTAAATAACAAAGGAAATCGATAAATAACCTATAATTTCCATAAATGATACAAACAATATCGATATGTACCAAGTGTAACGGGAATGATGCCATTGTGTTTCATGCACATACATGTACCGTTACACTGATTTCGAACATTCCAGGATAAACCGCACTTTTCGTATTACAAATCCACTTGATTATTAATACAGTTTTGTGTAAATCTCCGCATTTTATATCAAATGTAAAGGAAAAGTAATTTTAATAAACACGGTTCTGTCAGTAGCTCACATTTCTTAACA